GTGGTAACCAATTTTTCGGATTTCAAAGCGAAAAAAATCAGAGCACGAGAAAACAATGAGCTCTAGATAATATTCTCAATCACAGGCACAATTTGGATGGCTGACTAGGCGTATTCTCTTTCAATACAACAGCATGTCTCTAACCCCGTCTAACATCACTATAATAGATATCCTGTCACATGCAATGAAATCTTTTTGAAAGACCATAGATAGCCTATTATAAACAGGTTTTACTGCATTTTCAAATTTCTTCTCTGGCAAAATTTAGTTAAGGGTAGAAAAATAGACATAATTGAGCATTTTTCTCTAGATGGCACACTACTATTTCACTCATCTAACTAAATATTGGAAATTGAATTTTCTAATATACATTTCGAAATTTCCATTAGTTTTGTGAAACTCATGGAGATCCTGCTCATTTATGCGAATCGATTTGGCATGGTTTCGTTGAACTATAAAGTGTACTCACAAATTCTCGTCTTCCTTCTGAAGATGTCATATTTTCAAATACATAATCAGCAAATACATTCTGCCTTGCATGATCTGCTTTGTTCCAGATCTAAAAACAAATTAAGCAAGATATTAAGCATTTCTTTTTCACTAGATTCAAGCAGAAAACATTACCAGACACCATTGCAACTCCTTTGCAAGCGACAAACCATTGAAACTATGGTGTTTTTCACGTAGAAAATATATTCGCTTTCGCATTGCCTCAGCAATCACATCTTCCAAATTTCCGGTGGCTCCCATGGGATCAAATACCACAATGAGTTCACTTTTGCAGGCTAGGATGCCTATGCATTTCTCAATATTTTCTTTTTCATCTTCGTCTGTTTTATCTTCTTTTGTCGCATCTTCCTTTATCTCCTCTTCCTTTGTCTCATTCTCGTCTGTCTCATCTTCTTTTGTCGCATCTTCCTTTGTCCCCTCTTCCTCTGTCCCCTCTTCCTTTGTCCCCTCTTCCTCTGTCTCCTCTTCCTTTGTCTCCTTTTCCTTTGTCTCATTCTCATATGCCTCATCTTTTATAGCATCTTCGTTTGTCTCAACTTCCTTTTCCTTCTTCTCTCCTTGAATTCGTGATGTCCACGAATTTTCACTGTAGCGAGAAAGTTTCCGCCAATTATCCAATTCCCATTGATCGAGGTCAAATTTCCGTTTTCCGCCATTTTTATCGATGAATCCGGTGACACTATCAACGATCTCAGCGATAACGTCAGCAAGTTGGCCAGTTCCCTACAAGAAACAAGTTTATCAGATAAGAAAATCATAAAATAATTGACACTTGGTTATCACTGCCTGACTAGAATAGAGCTTTCACATGTGTTCTATACATGTAATCCTTCCACCCTCAATCTGTACGATTTATCGAAAGTCATAAAATCCAAGGATATATACCACTTTTAGACAAAATATTTCAAGTTTTTTTCTATTAATCACCTAATTCATTCAAGTATAGTTTGAAAATTATTCAAGAAATAAATGATGTACACTTGTCTGATGAAGCTTAAAGGTGGTCAAAATATGAGCTACACACATGCTTGTAGAATGTTCGTGGAAAATTCGAATGTGTCCAGCAATGAAAAACTAACATTAGTCTACTAGCTATGCATATCCCTTATAGTTCAACTTTTTTTGAAATCTTTTACTTCCGACCTAAAGTCTGTATAAGGTTTGCAAACTCAGGAAGACATGAAGAAAACATCATCGTCAGAATTTTTCGAAACCAATAGTTAAAATCTAAAATTCTGAGATGCAATTGTTGCGTCCAACTTATGTTCAGAGTAATTGCAAGAGCAATGTTTGTACTTTTGTAAGTTATGCAGATGACTCTTGAAGATATTTGTGGATATGGAAAAATCGAAATCGACATTATTTTTTTAAATTAAATTCGTGATATAAAGGAGAGGTTAATTTTTAATGAGAAAAGATCATGCAAAACTGTGTAGAATATAACGAACGACGAAAATGGGAATGCATACATCAATAAAATTAGTTTAAATGCATATAGAAAATGATAGGAGACCGAATATATCTATATGAGACTTGAGCACTGTTGCTAATGTTTCATATCATATAATATTCTATTATCTGTTGTCTATTATTGTTAGTACCATAGACATAAGAATATGATAATCACATTTTCGATATCGATTAACATTATTTCATTTAAATTATCACTTAGAATACAAATACATATAGTAGAGACCAATAAATTATTGTCGTAATCACCTTTTGAAATTTTTCAAGAGTTACTGAACATGTGATGATGCAAATTATATGCTAAATAAAGGACTCAAAATGAACTAATCCTCCCTTCTCCCTCCGTTCACTAGTATAAAAAAGTCTCTTCAGAAACAAATTTGTACCACGTTATAGAAGGCCCACGTTTTATTAATATTTTTCTTGCGAAAACTCAGCACTTAAATTAATAGTTTTATACCTAAATATGTCTAATTTAGGGACTTTTAGCTGAACATTTCAAACTCATGAGTTCAGTTCTGTATTGGAGCTTTGAAATTTGTGTAAATTTGTTCTAAAATATTCAAAATGTGGAACCCACGAGACTCAAACTGTTATAATTATACTACATTTTGTCACCAAAAAGTTGAAAAACTTTGTTTTTACACACTGCCAAATTAATGAATATATTAAAATTAGTTTTATCATGTGAGTGAAAATATACACTTGAAAACCTTCTCACAACGAAACTTATGTATTTTAAGCTATTTCCTTCATCTCGGTGTCCATTTATTAATATCTTTATAGAATTAATAGAAAAGGTGGAAAATATTAAATTTCTAAAGAAATATTACGACTAGTGATTAATCTGTAACAATTCCTATTTATATATTACAAACAGATTTTTCTCTAATGCTCATTGTTTTTTCTTGTCTTTGTTCGCAATGTATTATTCCTTTTTTTTATCGCAATTTCATTATTTCATAGTACTTGATTCAAACTTTCATTTTTTTGAAAAGATAAGCTTACTATACGCATTTATGACGTGTTACCCATATCTTCACAATCTTTTGTACATCACCATGTACTGAATAAGGTAGAAACTAAATATTCCTGAAAGTTAGAAAGTAATTTTAACATACTTTTATCTTACTCATATCCAGATTATAGGAAATCAAAGGAATATCTTTTAAATGGATCGTATAATCTTTAGATGTGCAAAAAAAGGAGATTGACTTATTGCGACTATTCTTAAGAATATTTGAACAATTCTGATATAAAAGAAGATTCTAGAAGTTTTTAAAACCTTCTAAACCAAAGCAGTTATTACAACATATAATAGTAAAGGTGTAGGCGAGTCGAAAGCTTTAATTTACGCTTACATTTACTATTATTTTCAACGAAAAGATATGGAAATTTCACAAAACTTAAATATATAATATTTAGATCAGGAATTAGAATCTCCAGAGTTTAGAAATAGTAGAATCATAGAGGTTGATTACGCACCATTGCTTATTGCTATGATAGAGGATACATTGGAGGACAGAAAAAACTTCATCTTAAAACTTGCACTCACTATTTCCTTCAAAAATATATGCGAGTTCAACACAATTGTAAGTAAACTACGAAAGACAATATGATACTCAATTAAAAAATTCTTCCGCTTAAACATAATAGAAGATCTTGAGTCTTTTATTGTAAGGCGAACGGAGTAGAACATATAGACACACTACACAGAACGAAAACCAAGAAAGTAAACATGATATTGCAAATTATTGCTGAATTATTTATCGCTCGAATTTTATGTCGGGATGATGATAATGATGCGAAATTTGCAGATATATGATTTGTTTACAAAGAATAAATCAAGATGGTTAGTGATGATTGTAAGAGAACGATTGACGAAGTTACTTAGAAGATTTGTGAAATAATGAAAAACACTAGTTTCTTTTTCTTAATGTAAATAGTTTTAAGATAATGCATTCAGAAGTCAACTATGAAACACTGCAAAATCAGTTTAGTTATGATGAAACAAGTTAGCTGTCATGTCTGTTAGAATTTGTCACAAAAACCAATTTGGTATATCGAAAAATTTGCCCAGCTTTTACACACGATGACGGAGCTAAGAAACTTTGATGAATCTGCAACACGTTGTAATAGATATGTTGATTTATCTGTCATAGTCTGTAGGGCAGCATTCATTGACAGTCGTGTTTTGAAATGTCTTTGGACGATTTCGAACAATTGATCATCACAGTTTTTGGTTTACATTATTACTCTCTCAAGCTACTATATCACACAATATAATATCACTTGAAGCATCAATATCAGTACTCACATCTCATATTAATACGTTCAATTATATTTTAGTTCTTTGCGTTCACATATATTTATACTTTTCAGGGTCAAAAGTACTCAATCTGTTTTTTATACAGACGTTGAACTTGACTAAAAAAGTAAATACCCTTTGAATTCGTCTAGAATGTCTTTATAAGGACCGCGGGTATCCTCGTACAATGTGCAAAGAAGATCTTTGAAAGTAGCAAAATAAGAAGTTTCATCATTAGCTCTTAGATAAATCTATAGAAAATTTATCAAAAACATCGAAGATAAAAATTTCCATGCTTCCTATTTCATTGATTTTTTAATATTAATCTTCCTACTTTCATGATTTACAATATCCTGTACAAGTCTTTCTTTAACGGTTTGAACGAGAATGTTTTCGAATATCAGAAACTGATGAAAGAAGGATCTCAACACATTTCATCCGCTTCAATGGAATATTAGTGAATCCTATTTTGGTAAATTATGCGACATTGTCAAGAACTAATAGAAAATCGGAGTTTCGCTCTCGTCTGTTGCTCAGAATATTCTAAAAGATGGGGACAGTAGTAGAAATCATAAAGCATTGCCATTTCTGAAAGAGATAATAACAAAATGACATTAACTGGGACTTCATCTCCATATTTGCTTTTCTAGTAACTGTTCGTTCTATAGCTTGTAGCCTTGTTCAGGCATATGAAACACTCAATGACGTAAGTTCATACTTTAACAATAACGATTGGTGTGCCTTGCTTCAAGTAACAACATAATGCGCTTAATGTTGTAGAATTGCCACCGAGCAGTAATGCAACTATTGGAGTATCATCACCATCTCCTAAAAATATATTATAGAATAGTTGTAAAGATTATGAACAAGTAATTTGTTCATGCGTACTATTCCTTGTATCATGACCAAGCGCTCCCAACTTCAGATTGCGACTAAGTTCGTGTTCGATAGCATAACGCCTTTCAATAATAAAGTCCATATCACTTGGATCATGATCGAAGAGAAGAAAATGAGTGTGATGTGATTCTAAGTCGTAATCGTTGTTAACTTGATTGAGTTTGTGAATCGGGTACGATTCATTGCATATCTATATAATGTGAAAGTAGTTATATTCATACAAAAATAGATTTATCTGCCTTAAATTATGATAGTTACCGAGGATGTTGAGTCACTAGTTTCGCTATGAGATGACGGATTAGAGGCTTCTCTACACTTGAAAACTTGTGGAATTTTTTTAGCCAACCAGGATGAAGATTCTTGTCTTCTGCTATTATGACCAGCACTTCCTTCCTCAAGACGTATCACTTCATCCCTGTCGTGAGTCGAACGCGTCCTCTTTACTAGCCTACTTTTTGTTTGACCATCATCTGACAAATATGATATCATATCATGTCGTTTATGATCAGCTACATTATTATTGTTTCGAATAATAACTCGTGAAGGTGGCCAACAGCACAAACCAATACAAGGAACATCATAGTCCGAACCTTCATTACGTAGTCCTTCTCCTACTAGAGAATTCATAGAATGATTTATTCCATGTGTCAGAACCCATGTATCTGAATGTTCGAAGATGTGAATAACAGAAGTTTGAAATTTTCTTAAAATATTCACTTACTTGTTATGTTTGCTGTTTCTGCTAAACCTCGTTGAATGACACGCTTGGTTTCATTATGAATGTTAGAATTATTATTCACTCGTTTCTCTGTACTGACATAATCCGTCTGGATTGAGAGAATGAGATCAGGAAGAGGAAGTTGATAGGCTTCAATGATGAATTGTGCTACTGTCTTTTTTGATGACTTGTCAGAAACTTGAATGAACTAAAGAGATATGACTTACGAGGGAAGGTCCCCAAGTGTGAGTCTTAGTTTTGAATGGGATCTATAACAATTTGTAGAGCTCGACGAGCTGATTCTCGTGGTATGTTTCGTTTTTCTCCATAGAACTTCAAAATGGAAAAACTGATCGATTTTACTAATGAATTTCTTCATTTTGGATACGTTTCGAGACAGTTGTTAGTAATTTGGAACTTAAAGTTTCAATGGTCGTGTTAAAACATAGGCAATGTCACATGTGAGTCTATTATTATATTATTTTAAACACAAGTTAAGCTTCAGCTTTGGGATACATAGAAAAGTTTTTCCTCAGGACCGCTAAAGAGCCTCCAAGTGTAATAATGTTACAAATAAATATTCATAACAATGATGGAAGTGAGTTTTACAAGGAAGTACTGTTCTTCTATTCTTTTAAAATAATATAATAATAGAATCACATGTGACATTGCCTATGTTTTAACACGACCATTGAAACATTAAGTCCCAAATTACTAACAACTGTCTCGAAACGTATCCAAAATGAAGAAATTCATTAGTAAAATCGATCAGTTTTTCTCATTTGAAGTTCTATGGAGAAAAACGAAACATACCACGAGAATCAGCTCGTCGAGTTCTACAAATTGGTATATATTCCATTCAAAACTAAGACTCACACTTGGGGACCTTCCCTCGTTAGTTGATATTTTGTGTGAAATGGGTCGAAATTACACAAATCTAGAGAACTTTTTTGATTTACTTGAGTTATGTAAATGACAAACTTATTCTAGTGAAGGAACTAAAATAAAAATGCCAATTCCGAAAAGGATCTCAATTCTTCTACAAGGTACAGTTGCCTTGAAAATTTTTTCAATGGATTGTTCTATGATTTCGCGAATATAATTAAGGGTCATATGACTTACCTGTGATAAACGATTGTTGATAGCAGCCTGATCGGAATCAGATAAATCCAAAAATCCATATGTTCTTTCACCTAATTCAGGGACAATCCTAAAAATTGAAACAAATACAAAGAACAAATCATATAGTCTTTATAACATCTGAAACTGTTGAGACTCGAATCATTCTTAAAAGCCTCGCTATTCCGAGAATTTCTTTACATCCAAAGAATTGTCTAATTCTTCGAATTTGTGGAAATCTTCAACTCTTAGAAACATTGGTTGACACCAATGAATTACAAAATCATTTAGCATAAGGGAAAGACAGATGGTTTTATCACAGTATAATTTAGTCTACGAATATTCTCAAGATCTGTCATGGCCATCACGAATATACACATTTCAGCAGGCGACGCCGGCATGAAAGTACTATAGTGCGATGACGTGCGTGGAAAGACTAACAGATACGAAAGCGCAACTATACATGCACAGAAAGTCAATGTGACCGGTGCCACGAAATATATTGTAGCTTCTGTGATTCTAGTAACGGTGGAAGTGCATAGTAGATTTTGGTAGTCTGCACAGATCGTAGTAGCTGTTTGAAATAATCTTTTAGAAGATTGATAGAACTTTGCCTTAGTTCCCAATTAATTTATGCCATACACTACTAGAGTTCAAGAACTCGAACAGTCTCAAAGTTCAAGGATTACAAGAATTTGAAGAGCTTCAAGCATTCGAGATGGATTAGCACCGAGAATTTAACTACACCGTGTTTATTTTTAGGATTTTAAAAATTCTTTAAAGTCAGAATTTATGGAACTTGAACACATCTCCAATTGTTTGATGATTACAGTCTTGGGTAAAAGTGCTTACCCGGTTCCAGCATAAAGTAATATTATTTCTTATGATTCCGAGCTGATATTTCAGGTCAATACGAACTATGATATATCCTGAATATAAGCACCAACCAACTAAGATATGTGCAATTTCTCAATCGAACAATAAAATCACCTTGCAACCATGATATTTCAAGCTTTTTGGCGTCTATATTGCTTACTCCGCTCCTCATTCTAAGCCCAATGTCGTAGTTATCTGTAGTAAAAACTGTTTAGAAAATTACTTAGAAATAACTGAGATATGATTTTATTATTGAGAACTTTTGCCCACCAAAATTACGGATCTCAACTTATACGTCATTAACTCAGCATGATCTTGACCGATTCATTCGAGAATTCAGCAAAAAGGTCCTATACATTCATAAGTCAGTATTGGAATTTGCAGTTTTTTAGTGTAATATGGAGTTGCGTTAGAGCCCTGGAAAGAGATCGTCATGATACAGCTACTTAACCAACGAAGCCTCAATTTTATGGGAGCTCGACTCTGAGCACAAGATATCAGGTTTATATGTGACTGTAGTTTTTATTAAAACAGCAGAAATGAATATACATTGCTATTACAGTGATACAGAATGGCTATATCTGCAAAGAAGTTCAAAAGTGTAATCCGTCCTCATAGAGAAGAATTCTGCGCTCACAAACATCACTTGACGTTTATTGAATATATCGGAGAAAAGTACGGTCGAAGAAAATTTCTCTTTGCCATCTCATGATTTTACAATTGATGGTTGTCTTTTTTTTGGTGCAAAATGTAACTACCTATATCTGGTTTCTTATGCTCAAAGTTCTGTCCTTAGAATGTTAGTTTTGTCAATTAACAAGCTCTAAATCAACTCTACATTCCATAAAAGATCTGAAAGTTGCAACAAAAATTTCTGAGCAAATGTGGACTCTTTGTTAAAGCCTCAAGTAAGTCGATCAAGACCATCTCGCATTAGTGCCATCAGGCTGGAGATCTAGCATTTGTGCTTGGAAGAAGTTTTCAATGGGAAAATCATATCTCAGTTATTTCAAAGTAACTTCTTAACAAATTTTTACTATAGATAGCTACGGCATTGGATTTCGAATGAACGACAGAGTAAAAAATACAGGTCTGAAAAGATTGACGGATGGCAGACACAAGGTGGAATCATTGTTCGATTCAGAATTTGAATCTAACTCAATTGATTGAGACAAAATTGGTTCCTATGATCAGGATTCATCGTGATCCACATTCACCTAAAATATTAATCCAAAATCATCAAAAACAATACTGCTTCACGTTGGTGGCGCAGCAAATTATTTTGTTTGTGACCTCAAGTTACTTTCTAATATTGAATCCTGCAACAACTTACAATTTACCGCCACTGTTTTTATCCTCGTCATTTTCGTCGTCGTCATTTTCATCCTCGTCAATTTCATAGTCGTCATTTTCATCGTTGTCATTGTTAATTTTGTCAATAACCTACGATAAAGAAATCGATCTTCAATGTAGAAATTGTTTACTATGTATGCATACTTCTTTGACGTGATCGTATGCTCTTTTTAATTCCTTCGTCATTCCTAGACCTTGAGTTGAACCTAAACAAGTAAAAAATGATTGTATTCTTTTATTCCTCGTACACTGAAAAAGTACAGATGAGTTCCAAATACTGCTTTCTTTCATTTTCATTTCATCTTTCAGGACGATATCATGAGGTATGAAGAATTAAACGAGTTCAATATTTTCTTAGTCTCTGTTGCATTTATGCTACATGGTAAACAAAGCAATATATAGTTTCTTAGTGATAACAAGTGACTAAAAAATATAGTCGTGAATGAAATATTCTGATTTATCTACGTTCATATGATCCATTGTGCTCTGATAGCACTGTGAGTGTAAGCGTTCTGCAAGCACACATTGAGTCAAACTAGTTATACTTAGCGTAATGCACTAAACTCAAAGTGCATCGAGTCACAAATATTTGGCAGTAAGAAAATATGTGTCACCTGGATTCTGCTCATATCTCTTGAAAAGATGATGGAACTTCTATGTAAATGTTATTTCAGTGTATTCATACATCTTCAGTAAGGGATTTTCTAGAATCGGTCACCGTAAGCGAGGCTTCTTCGTTTTATAGGCCATATTAAATTTAGAAAACGCTGCTAATCTAACAGATGGATGAAATCGAGGGTAGAATCATGGCAGCACAAAAAACTTAATCAAATGAGGTTAGAATTTCAGCAAGTTTTACTTTATCGTAGTCTTCTCATATTGTTTATTTGAAAATGATAATGATGACACTAAATTGGAAATATTCGTCATTTCTCACTCACACCACTTCACTCTCTCTTTCACCTGTATTGAATTGCTTCTACTGAGGCAACTAGCTTGACCGAAAAGAGGAGAATGATATTATCGAAGTTTATGTCGACACTCATTTTGATATCATTGATTCGGATGAACATAAAATCAAGTTTCCCTTTTTTCAGGGCTTAGAAATTTCTTGATTTAACAGAGAATACTCCCATCTAGGTCACATGTAATTTCACCTGTGATGTGAGATTCATGCTTGCACAATGAAAAGCCGGTTAAAGTATGATTGACATCATCAGGTCTGATCCATCATGCTACTGAAAAGATATATATTCCATGTGGGATTTTACTTTTTAACTAAAATTTATCGACATTGAGTCACAGCAAACTATCCAGGCCACTTTAAATCTCATTTTGAAAATAAAGAGAAGTAGACTCTTGATGCCTGCGAGTTTCTCGAAAACTCTAGAAAATAAGATTGTTAGAGTGTTTTATAAATTCTCTCAAACGCGTCGTATGTTACCAGTTGGCCGTGGTGATCAACGAAATCACAATTTGAACTCGCCAAATATTTCTATACAATCCACAATGACAAGATCAACCTATGGATGTGAGATCTATGTTGAGAAGAGATCTTTTT